TTCCTGGTTAAAGTGCACGCATTCTCCGGTAAAAATATTCCTATTTTTATATTGTGATGTCCTGCTGGATACTGCAATCGAGGAAAACGTGAATAACCATCACTTTGTTGTGTAAATAGTTATTGTCGGCTGTAACCATGTCAGTACAACAACAAACTCGTTAGTGAAAGCATTCTCTGGTAAAAAAAAAAAATCCCAGTTTTTATATGAAAGACTAATTGCATATATATTATAATAACTGTTTTGGTTTTAGATTTAAGATATGATGTGTATGTTGTTGTGTTAAATTTTAGGCCAAGAGTTGATTTTTCTCAGTTCATTTTTTCACACCAGGGGCGATTCTAGAAGCCCTTTTTAGGGGCCTTAGCCCCCCCATTGTTGACAATGGCTCTTGGCTTGAACAACACAGTGGGTATTTGCATTAGAATTATTGTAGGGGGGGGGGGGGGGCATATTGGTGTGAGGTCTGTGGGTCTTCCCCCATAACTTTTTGAATAAAGTAGCTGCTATTTCCTGCATTCTGGTGTATTTTAACAGGTTTTAAAACATTTATGTTTACCTACATAAGTAAATCCTTGATTCAATAACTGTTTTTGAAAGCATGGCACAACAAGAAGTAGCACTAAACTTTTTGTTTGTCTTTAATTTAATTACATTTTTCTACCTAACACAGGAAGCTGTTAGCTCTGGAAGCAAGCTGTTAAACAGCTTTGGACACAAAGATCCTTGTCACACACTTCAAAAGAGCAGGTAAGATATAAAATCTTGCAATCTCTGCCTGGTGAGGTTACTTAAATAATTATAAAATATGATAAGTGAAATAAAGAAAAATTGAGCTACTGTAATTTATAATTGCAAATGTCACATTTTTTTGACTTAATTTCAATTGTAAATCTCTTGTTTTTGATTAAAAAAAAATTTCCAAAAGAAAGGCCAACCAATTGTAATTTGTAGTGTTGGATTTCATATTTTTATACCTTCTTATATTTCCTATCAAGCATTCAAATGTCATGTTATACAAAGTGTGTGTGTGTCTTTCTTCCAGGGTTGCACTATATTTATAGAAAATGTTTGCTAATTCTAACTAGTTGACCTTTAATATAATCTCATATTAGCTAAGGATAATTTTACAAGTTCACATTTGATATTTTACAAGCAATCAAATCATGCCAGATAGCAGACTGATTAACATAAATAAAGCTAGAACACATTTCTTTAATTTAGACAATATAGTTTGACTAAATAAGATCCCTCAGGATCTCTCTTAATAATAACCATTAACATTTAATGATTGTTGAATACAGGGTCGGTTTAGCTGAGAGGACACAGGGTTAATTGTCACAGTAAGCTACAACAGCAAAAGTATAAAAAGGATCAAGTAAGAACACGCAAACATGAGTTAGATAACAATTAATAGTTATTAATTATTCCTAGAAATAAACAACTTTAACTCAAATCATTTGGTATCGCTAAGGTATAATCACGTTAAACAAACAGCTAAAACGAACGATTTCAGTGAGGCAAAACTTATCTGAAATGCAGATAATAACGTCCTTGAGGGGGCGGGCTAGAGTCGTAACCCTAGCAACAGAAGCTAAACCAATCAGAAAGCTAGCCTTCTCAAACTGTGATAAAAGGCCGGAAATGACACACGCCCACCAAGCATTTCCGGGAGGCGCACACCAAGACGGTTTGTTCTTTAATGCTCCAAAATATATGCATATATTTTAATAATGTAATTGTTTGTCTCTGAATATCTGTAACCCATGTTTTGTCAAATAAATCTTTTATACCGAGGGCGACGTCTCAGCTGTTTTGAACACGACGTGGTAGCCAGCCACGACAGTAGTCATGGTAACCCTATTTTGACTTGTGCACTGTCGTCTTTCACTTTTAGATCATGAAAGGTGCTGGACCCGTCAATGCCGCTGTGGAGAGATGAGGTGGAACACCAGACCTGCAATGCTCCAGTCTGTAAATGATGCTCTGAAGTCTGGTAAGATGCACGACATCATGCTTCACCCAAACGAGCTACCTCAACCACATAGACTGAGCTTCTTGAGAACGTCGTCCAATGTATAATAATGCCTTTAAACATTTTTATTTGTTGAGTTCTCTGCTTGGTACATTATTTTTCTTTTTTTGTTTTTGTTTGTTTGTTTAAACAATTTAAAACATGACAGTAATGTCATAGTTTAAAGGAAACGATTGCTCAATAAATTAGTAAAATGCAACTTGTTATGTTTGTATTCATTCATCTAAGGTAGACATGGTATGACCCATGTACTGGTTTTGATTTTTTTAGTTTTTACTGTAACTGACCTTCAAAAGAGCCAGAAACAGGGACTCAGCAGCTGATCCTCTGTAGAAACATTATATGGACTACAGGCCATGTATTATTTGTTTTATGACATTTAGTGAAGGTTTTTGTTTGGATTAAGAAAATAAATGTCTCTATTTCACCACAGATGAACTGTTCCTGTTGCCATATCTTTTGAAATAAAACTGCACAACACAAAGTAATTTAAACAGGAATGGGTAGAAGATTAAATTAAATTCAATGTATTTCCTAAAAATTAAATGAAGATAAAAAAACAGGAGCAGGACAGGAGTGGGAGTGATTCTGAACAGGAGCAGGAGTCATGTTACCAGGAGTGGGACAGAACAGGATTTTTCTGTGTGACCAGGACAGGACAGGAGTGACAATCCACTCCTGTGTCATCCTCTACCGTGCGGCTGTCCCTTCCGCCTGGTTGAACCCCCCAGGCAGACTGTGTGGACCTGACCCGTTTACAAACTTTATTTGTGCAGCTTGATTACAGTTTTGGGCTTCATATTTCATTACCTGCAGTTTGTAATCTGCAGAAATGGATTTTCTGTTTGGGGGCATTTTACTTGTGATAAGTTTTTCTCAGTTGTCTCAGGACATTATTACCTGCAGTGTTCCCTCAATGAGGACTGAACTAGGCAAAAGGGCCTTCTCCTATTCCGCTCCCGTTTCCTGGAATATCTTACAAAAAGATTTGAAGCTCTCAACCTTGACCTCTCTAAGTGGCTTTAAGAATCTGTTGGACTCTTGGCAGGGACCAACGCAGACATGTTCCTGTTTTTAGTTTTCTACATTCACC